AAGCTAAACTGTGGCAGCACAAGCATGCAACACATAGAAATAAAAAGACTTGTTGGACAAAATTATAAAAAAAAATAATTAAATTTAAGCATTCAGGAGACACAAATGCATGTACAAGTAAAAGGAAAAACTATGTAATACGTATATTAAAAACTTTAAATTGTGTTAAAATATATGATTTATTGGAACTAAGCTGGAAAAATAAATATGACGGTCAATTAAATTATAAAACATGAGGTAAAATTCTTTTTAATTTATTTGGTGCATTTTAAATGTTTTTCCTCCTTGCCTTAAAAACATATATTTTTAAAAACAGTAAAATGTAAATTATGTTCTAAAATATATAATTTATAGGAACTAAGCTGGAAAAATAAATATGACGGTCAATTAAATTATAAAATGATGCGATTTTTTTTGAATTGGTGCATGTTAAGTGTATTTATTTAGTTAGTTGTCCATTTATATATTTCTGTTTTTATTTCTAATTATGTCAGTTTCGGTCCTCCATAGCCCTCGCCCTCACATTTCCCCCCTCTCTCTCTCATCTTTGAAAATGTCTCAGTCTAAATATGCATTCCTGATTCTTACCTCCATATCTGCCCCTGTGATAAGTTTCTTATTATCGTCTGTTTTCTCTGTTTCTCCAGGCAGGCCAGACGGCCCTCATGCTTGCAGTGAGCCACGGCCGCGTTGCCATGGTGAAGCTGCTCCTGAGCTGCGGAGCGGATGTGAATGCCCAGGACCGCGAGGGATCTACACCCCTGATGTGCGCCTGCGAGCACGGACACACACACATCGCTCGCCTGCTGCTGGAGACGGGTCGCTGCGACACCAGTCTCACAGATAAGGTACGGTGTTACTTTGTAAAGCTGAAAATATGACGTTTACAGGATCACCTAGYCCTTTTTCCTCCATGACCCGACCAYGAATAAGTAGAAGAGAATGAGTCGGTGGATGGAACCGAAATTCCCCTCATGTTTTTGATGCTTTACAGTTTGATTAAATCCTAACTGTATCCTCCTCTTAATTTGAAATGACTGAATTAGTGTACACTGTTACAATAAAACCAAATAAAACTATTCACTCAGGTCAATCTTTACAACTCAGGAAACCAACCCTAATTTATCAGAAAAGAAAGTCTTCAGTCTAATCTTAAAAGTAGACAGAGTGTCAGCCTCACGGACAGAAACTGGAACTCAGTTCCACAAGAGAGGAGCTTGATAACTGAAAGCTCTGCCTCCCATTCTTCTTTTAGATACTCGAGGAACCACAAGTAAACCTGCAGTCTGAGAGTGAAGTGCTCTGTTAGGAAAATATGGAACAATAAGATGTTTAATATATGATGGAGCTTGGTTGTTGAGAGCTTTGTNGTAGTTTGAAGAAATGTATTAGTCATTTAGAAACWGATTTTAAAAGCACCACACCATTTCATAGTTCTCCTTTTTAAGTATTGATTCTTATAATCTATTGTTTAACTATTGTTATGTCTTGATTAAAATAGCTTTAGTTACATGCCTAAAACACCATGACAACACATCGATAAAACCGTTAATAAAACATAAGGAAAGGATTTCTGTACGAGTGTCTGSGATTCAGCCGTAGGCCTGTAGTGGGCGTACCAGACACTGAAGAACATGGTAAATAGACCTGCACTTCCGGGTTTCCGGCAGCGATGATTTCTTGCCTGAACTGACAGCATTAAATCACCGTTCAGACTCCAGTAACTGGTGTTGTACGGTCGTTCTCTTCACATTTTAATCCATTCAATATTCATGTGGTTTTGTCACAATTTCAGTTAACGAACACTAAATTTTCTTCAACCAGCACTCCCAAAAATACCACGTTTTTAATAAGGACAGAAAACAGGACGCGTTTCAACTACATGCCGTCGTCAACTTGTTATCATAGATAGGCCAAGTAAAACCAATGTTATTATAATTAAATTACCGAACTTTTTTTTTAAACGTTCGTCATATTCGAAGCGGAGAGGAGCACCAAGCAGAAAAAGACCGGGGAAATCTCCAGTCCGTCTGCCTGGCGGTAGCCTGGCGGTATCCTGGTCCTTGCCTTCCTATGCAGCTCCGCTCAATTCTAGTTCCGCTTCTCTGCTCCGTCTGGGACTTTACCCATTGAGAAAGATTTCGCTGGCAGATTTTTAACCGAGCCAATCAGAGAACAGAACGTTGATGTTCTGCGCAGTGTCTGCTAGTTAGTTTAGCATACGGCAGTAGATGAACTGAATGAAGCCAGTCCGTGTTGAAAAGGATTCCAAATTAAAATAAATTTGTCTGACAAAGCAGCAGCTCTCATTTACAGTCGTCACGTTCAGCTCGGTACTTTTAGCCTCTCAGTAGGGTTGTTTACAGCGCTCGTGATTTCCTGTTAGCTTCTTAGCTTAGCCTCCTTCACAACGACACACACACACATACTTCAGCAGAGGTCACGCCTCCAGCAAGAAATCGCTTCTCAATAGCAGCGAGTCCAGACCCTTGTCCGAAGCAAAGTGAAGGACAAGGGTCTGGTTTTTACCAGGCTAGCCTGGCGGCATTAATCGTGCTAACGTCAAGTGCCAATAACAGTTATTCTGGCGATTAATTGCACACAATTAGTGGTGTGGCTTTGAAAACAACATTTAATAAGTCATTTTTTAAATATATTAGTCAAAATTAATTTTTCACGTCAGTAATTATTGGTATTATTT